GCCCCACCAGCTGAGTCCCCACTGCCCCCGCGGCGGTGGTGCTGACCTCCAGCCCGCTGGCCCCGCTCCGCGCAGGCCGTGAGGCTGGCCCGTGCTCTCCAGCCCGGCGGTGTGGCGGCCGCTGACCGATCTCCGCCCTGCCCACGGAATGGGCTGCGGTTCTGACGGGGCGCCTTTGGGGCGGCCGGCTCCACCCATCTATGTCGAGTTTTGGGGTTCAACATCTGGTTTGATGAAAGGCCCTGGCGGCGGAGATGGCCGAAACCCAGAGGCCCGGGGTCCCCTCGGCCTCACCCAGTCCTCCTCGCTTCCTCCGGGAGCATGGGGGTGCGGCTCTGCGCTAGTCTTCAGCGGCCGCCGCTGCACGCCCACCTTCCCCAGGCCTGGCCCCACAGGAAGGTCCACGAAGGGCCTGTTGGCCCCTCGTGGGTGCGCCCAGCCGCAGGCCTGCTCAGGACGCTGCTCTTGGGGTCCCTAGATGGGCGTCTTGCCGGGGCTGCAGCCAGGGGGGGTGCAGCAGACAGTGGGCGGGGTCCCCTTTGTGTTCCCACCTCCGTGGCCGCTCAGGGTCGGGGGGCCCTGGGTTTACACCCCGACTGCCTTCAGCCCTAGGAGCAGGGTCCCCAGCCTGGGGGGTGCCTGCCAGGGGCCCCGGAGGGGCTGTGCCGCCGATGGAGTTTAGGGCACTGGGCAGACAAGTCCTCCTGGCAGTGACATCGGGGCCTAGGTCAGTGGCTAGCGCGGCGGCCACCTGCACGGCTCCCTGTGAGGACTGACCCTCCTTGGCTGGACCCCCAGGTGTCACATATAAAGAGGTGCTCAGCTTCAAGCCTCCCCGGCAGCTGGGGGCCAAGAGCCCCAAGGAGACGGCCCTGTGACCTGTGACGGCAGCAGGTCTGGCTGCGCTTCACCGGCCGGCCCTGCCCAAGGGGCCGCCTGGCTCCCAGCCCGCTTGGCCCCAGAGGCCCCACCCGGGACGGCCCCACCCATCGGCCTGACCCTGCACTGAGCCTGACCTTGGAGGAGCGCTGGACCTGTGCAGGGCTCGCCTGGGGGGCGCAGCGGCAGTGGCTTGGGGGGCGGCGGGCGGGGGGCGCAGGGGCGGGCCTGGGCTGGGGCCTGCAGCCCTGACCGCTGCCTGCCGGTGGAGGTGTCCACACAGCCGGAGGAATAAAGCTTGTGTAGACCTGGCTCTGGCGGTGGTGCCTTGGCTCCGTCGGGGTCCCGGAGCTGGGGCCCACGTCCCCTCCCGTGCCAGTGGCGCCGAGCATGAGCTGTCACCGCCCTGTGGGGTGCCCTGATAGTGACCCAAGCGTGGGCTCTGATGGGGAGAGGGTTCAGGCCCGCCCCTCCCCTGCGGGGGGCAGCACCCCACTGCGCGTGTGCACACAGCCAGCTGGGTCGCGGTCGGGGACACCCGGGCTCCTGCCCTGCCCCTCAGCGACCCAGGCCCAGCCGGCCCGGCAGCCCCGCTGCCCCCTCCCCACCTGGGGGAAGCCCACACAGTGGTGGGAGGTCTGGGGCTCCCCGCCAAGCCACTCTCCGGGTGGCGCCCCATAGGCTGGGGCTGCCTGGCCCCGTCGGGTCCGTTTCCTCTCGGGTTGTCCAGCTCTGGGCGCCCCGCCTCTCCTTGGCTGGACCCAGGCCCTCGCCCGGGCCTTTGCTGCCCCTTGCCCTCAGGAGGTCGGCCTCCTCCTCCCGCAGGCCTCAGGCCTCCCCGCCGGCCCTCCCACGCGAGGGCTCCCTGGCGAGCCTCCGCGCCCGC